GTTCAAGAATTTGATGGGAGTTGTGCATTTTCAGATATGCACGAGCACTAGGCGCTATGTATCTTCGACTTACATTCACGTCTGTGGAGATCTACAAATATCTCGAGCCGTTGTTCAACGATTATCGAAAGCTTCGATATATGAACAAGCTAGGAAGTGATTAAATTTCATAATATCTAGTTTTCTTGTCTCAAGTCGCAAGTTATCGTATTCCACAGGATTCGAGTTGGTATACATGGATGAATTCATTGATAATCTTCTGCGGGAGGAACGATATTGCGATATACAGCTTCCCCGATTACAGGTTTCTTTTCTTAATTTCCACTACTTGGACTTTAAATCATCTCATTGCAGTAATGAAAAACCGGTTTATTCTACGCTTTTGTTCATTTTCCTGATTCTTTTGTTCTTCAGAAAAGACAAGCATTAGAAGAAGCTGGTGAGCTAGAGCCGTATAGAAGTATTCTCGATGAGGACCTGGACGCGTTGAGTGCATCAGACAGTGAAGATGAAAGGAGACAGGAAAGATAAGAAAAAAGTGCGTTTTTTTATTACCGTACCAAGAGCGATTCTTTCATTTTACATCAATTTTCTCCTCTATTTCGTTTCAGGAAAAACCGCGTTTGATATCGAGACGACGAAGTCGCAGTAGGGATCGCTCACGAGAACGTGAGAGACCTAGAGAGAAGTTGAAGGAACGTGAGCGCGATGACAAGAAGAGGGAGCGGTCCAGAGAGAGGGACAGAGATCGTGATAGAGACAGGGATCGCCATGAAAGGGATCGTCATGACAAGGATCGAGATCGCCGAAGGGACAGGTCACGCGAACGTGATCGTGAACGTGACAGAGACCGGGACAGAAAGGGTAAGTGTTTGTCTACTTTGAATTGTTGGCCCTTCCGGAAATGGATTTACTTTGCTGAAAGCTCTGAGGAAAAAATTTGAGCTCAGAGGCTAATACCAAATTTGTACTAGTGTTTCCACCTGTTGGGTGTATCGTGATTGCGGATATGAGGTAGGGGGACGGCGTCGAAGAAACTCGGTATTACGTGTGATTTCGATGCTCTTGATACGAAATGATGTTGTGCGTGTCAAAAAGTCAGCAGTTATGACAGTTTTCGATTGAAAATGGAGGACACCCGCAAAATACTGATGCGTGTCTTCCGAGGGTATTTGCTTTTCTCATTTTCGACATTTTTTTTTGCACTGAAGTGACCTGTTAATAAGATGCATTTGTAATATTGTTGATCAAAAAGTAATTTCTAGAACGTGAACGTCCACGTCGCGATGAACGAGATCGCGACGACCGAGATCATCATAGAAGCAAGAAAAGCGGTAGAGATGATGGTGATCGAGAAATCGCTGAGGCAAACGCCCTTAGAGCGAAACTCGGGCTGAATCCGCTTGAACGATGATTTAATAAGTATTCTGTGCAAAGTAGTTCGTGTGGTCTCATATTCGTTCTCGATGTACTAACTAAGAATGATTTATTGCCTGGAAATTATGTACTTCTGATTTTCCTTAGTAACGAGGTCCACATTTCGGGAAGGCGTGCTTTTGCACCTTTTCACTTGACCGCTGGAGTATTGCGTTAGACGTTTTGCGTGCTGTAATTACGAAGGCAAAAAATATTTTTTGAGCGAAATTCAAGTCCTCTCATCATTTCGAAATCTCGGCATTTTCAAGTTTATACTTCTGCCTCGAGGTTGGTAGGTAGAATCAATTCTGACCAACGTTTTGACCCTCTCCGTTTTCAGAGGCCTGAACATGGCTTAAAGCTTGCAAGTTAGGTGTTATTCTTCTGAGAGAAGTTCAGAAACGCTAAGGCGGCAAAGGCGTTCGATGGTGTGCAATTCGCAAGCATTAAGTCATGTCGAGATCTTTAAAAACGATGAGACTGTCGAAATGGGCCAGAATGAATTTTCCCTCAACCATCTTCGAGGCAGAAGTATAAAATATGCCACAACATGT